ACACACACACACACACACACACACACACACACACACACACACACACAGTCACACACACAGTTAAACACACACACAGTCAGTCAGGACCTTTATTTACATGATATTGGCCCCCCAAACATGCCGAAGGCCTCAGGTGAGTTGGGGGAGTTTCCTCCTGTTTAACCCTTTAAAGCCTGATCCAAGAATAAAACAAAACAGAAAATTACTTTTTTTGGGGTTTGAAGTCTTTATTTGGCCTTTTAAAAAAATATGTCAAAAGAAAAAACAGAAATACATTTTTTATATTAAGAATTTATTACTATGCGATAAGTCAGGATTATTTTTTGTGTAGTCTTCTGCCCCCTGTTATCAGGTGTGTCTGGTTGTGTACAATAGGATTTTCAGCAAAGTTTTTAACGTTAAATTATGCAAAAGGTGTCAGACGCAAAACATTTCAGAAGCAGGAAGTGGGTCCCTCCCTTGCGTTGCTGCATTCAGACTGTATGTAAAAACAACCAGAGACACACCAGATTTGTGCTGTAAAAGGAATAAAACTGGTAAAAGTGTTCACTCAGATCTGGAGGCATGATGTGATCATAGTGTGAAATCATCTAATCTCCTCATTAGGGGGAACAGGCAGCTTTCTGAGCATCTGTACGGTGCTTCTGGGAGAAGTAGATCTGAATTAAACCGTCCTTAAACAGCAAGCAGCTGCTTCTTTTCCCCTCAGCTGAAAAAAAAAAAACAACAGTTCAGGCCCAAGTGACAGAGAAATCACAGAGATTTTCTCTGTAACTGGGCCGAGCTCAAAGAGCCGCAGCTGGGCTGCGAGGAGGGAACTTTCCTTAATGTCACAGCAGCAAATAACACGCTCTGTCTCTGTCCCTTTATTCCTTCTTTCTGCCCTTTCAGTAGAAGTCAGTCTGACCCAAAACGCAGCCTCCTCTGTTCTTTGTTGGCCCGGGTTCAGCCACGCCTCCACCCCGGGCTGCCATTACATCCTAAATCACCCTGATACAACCCGACTGGAGACTGAATAGTACCGTATCTTCTGAACTATAAGGCGCATAGCGTAGAAGCTCCAGCAGAGGCTGGAGCTGTGTTAGCATCCACCAGATGCAGCTACGCTAAAGAGAACGTCAATAAAGAGTCAGATAAGTCAGACTTTATCAACAGAAGACAAACCAAAATGAATAAACAGCTGTTCTATTATTTTTCCCGAGGTAAAGTCCTCAGTTCAGTAGATAACAGAAACAGTCTGATACGTTACGGTAAATCAGACGTTAGCGCATCACAATATCTAGCAGCTAGCATAATGCTAAGCAGCTTTTCTCGTGAAAAAACAAAAAAAACTGCCACTATAGAAATATTTGAACTACCTGTTGTACGTTTAGCTTAAATATACAACATTTTTTAACAGCCTTCTCTCACTGCGTCCACTTTTAAAATGGGGGCTAACACATATGTACTTTGTGCAGTACTGAGGATCCCCAGAAGGGGGCGCCTCTTTACCGTGCGCTACTTCTACTTTCTCTACCTCTTCTTGTACGGGATAAATTAAGTGGGCGGCTGCTTCCCATAGTTGCTAGTTAGACCTGTTGGGGCTCCATCCTGATCCATGTAAAAGGCGCTCTGTCAGTTTTTGAGAAAATTGAAGGCTTTTAGGTGCCTTATAGTCCGGAAAATACGAAACTTACAGGTAAAAGAGCTGAGCCCTGCCTGTTCCCTCAGACAGTGGTAGAAATCAGAGATGTTTAAAGTACTGGAGTAGAAGTACAAGTACTATATAAAAAAAAGTTGACTTCAGTAAACGTAGAAGTGTTCTTTCAACACCATACTTAAGTGGAAGTACTCCATTTTTTATTTATTTAAGTATTGCAAGTAGAAGTATGTATTTGCATGTGATATTTATTTATGATTCATTACGTTTACATATCAGTAAAGAGTAACGATTCAACCCGTGAAAGTAAAAGTATTAAATTAATCATTATGTAGTGGAGTAAAAGTAAAAGTAGGGAAAAAAATACATACTCCAATAAAGTACAGATACTGCATTTTGTTGCTTAAGTACAGTACTACTTGGTTACTGTACATCTCTGGTAGAAATGGAGTAGAAATGGAGTGTCATTTAGCTGTCCTGGCTCTGCCTGCAGGTCCCCCGGTGCCTCCTCCCAGTATGCGGGTCAGTGAGAAGCTGTCCAAAGTCACGTCCTCCTCCATCCTGTTCCGCTTCAACTGCTCCTGGTTCAGCGACGCCAACGGGGCCGTGCGCTACTTCGCCATGGTCGTGTCCGAGTCAGACGGTGGGGAAACCTCATTGGTCCATAAACTCACCGTTTAATCGCCACTTTAGTCGCATTTTCCAAAGATAAATAACAGAATTAAATGAGAACAGCTTTTGTATGTGAAGTCTTTTTCAAAATGAACATTTCGGAAGTTGATCCCGACTTTGTGTCCCTCCTCGAACAGCCAATGAGATCGTTCAGCCGGAGCAGCGCCACCCTCTGCCCACATACCGGGACTACATCAGCAACTCCTCCGTCCGACTCTACCAGACCGCCTACTTCCAAAACCGCTGTCCCCAGGACGCCGAGGCCTCCGCTGGACAGGTGCTCTGCAGCCTATTCAAAACTTTACTTAATTTAATTTACTCAAAAGATGGCAGCTGGTTCTGCTCCATCTGATGGTTTATTCAGTTAGAGAATTATAACAAAGTGACTCAAATACTTTAACCCTTTAAAGCCCGATCCAAGAATAAAACAAAACAGAAACTTACTTTTGTTTTGTTTTAAGTCTATATTTGGCCTTTAACAAAATATGTAAAAAGAAAAAACAGGATATCCACAGAGCTCATTTTTACTAGTTTTGATTAGACTTTTAATGTATTTAATTCAAGCACTTGACTCATTATCTGACCACCTGATCAGGTGGTGGAGGTGAACCTGGGGGCAGGAGGCGACCGGCTGGGTGGGGTCTGCGATCGTTACCACGACGACGACCTCTACCTGAGAGACAGCTACGGCGCCTTCTGCGACGGCCCTCTGAAGGCCAAAACCTCCTACAGGTAGTTCAGAACTACTGGTCCTCAGTTCGGGAGTAATTTTGCTTGGTCCCCAGTCTGCGGTAATTACAAGGATGTGTGTTTGTGTGTATTCGTGTGTGTGTGTGTGTGTGTGCAGGCTGAGCGTGCGGGCCTTCACCAAACTGTTTGATGAGAACCACAGGGAGGTTGTTCAGCCACTCTTCAGTGACACCTACCTGTCCACGCCACTCAGGACGCACGCAGGTGAGGAGCTGCGGGCTGCCGGTTATCGGCTGCTTGCTAAAGGCTGTCGGCTAACGGCTAATGGCTGTTTGCTAATGGCTAACAGCTGTCGGCTAATGGCTATCGGCTGCCTGCTAATGGCTAACAGTTATTGGCTGTTGGCTAATGGCTCTCGGCTACCGGCTGCTTGCTAAAGGCTGCCGGCTAAGGGCTGCCGGCTAATGGCTAACAGTTATCGGCTGTCGGCTAATGGCTAACAGTTGTCGGCTAATGGCTGTCTGCTAATGGCTAACAGTTATCGGCTGTCGGCTAATTGCTGTCTGCTAATGGCTAACAGTTATCGGCTGTCGGCTAATGGTTCTCGGCTATCAGCTGTCTGCTAATGGCTAACAGGTGTCGGCTCTCGGATGCTTGCTAAAGGCTGTCAGCTCTCTGCCTGACCTCTGCTGTCCTGCCCCAGAGCCTCTAGGTGGCGTGGTGGAGGGCCTGAGTGCAGGGATGTTCCTGATCGGCATGATGGTGGCGGTGGTGTCTCTGCTGGTGTACCGGCAGAGGCTGCGCAAAGTGTGAGTACACACACAGTCCAGACACCAGTGGCTTTGACCCTCTTTGAAACCTCCATATTGAGAGTTCAGCAGCTACAGGTGTGACCGTCTGTGTGCAGGGCTGTGCAGGAGAACCCGGTGGTCAGGATGAGCATGTGGAAAGAAGTTCCAGCCTCGGGGATGTACATGGGAGTGAGGAGGCAAGTGTGTGAGATCTATAATTACTCTAATGGAGTACAGGAGCGAGGCAGAGCCCGGTTCCCAGCATCTCCCACGTCCAATATGTGAGCGTGTGAAGTTTTAGTTTCCAGTCAGGTGCCAGATGACCTCATCGTTCACTGGCTGGTCCTCAGCATCTGTTAATTACTGCGTGTGCACTGAGCCTCTCTGTGTTTTAGCACTGGAAGCCTCAAAAGGCCCTCCAAGTGTTATGTCTGTCCACAGAGAATGACCCAAGTTTTTCAGTTAGCCACTCAGTTTTATTGTTTAGTTTTTATAGACAGTCTCTTAAAATATGAGTCCCACACAGAGAAACAGTCATGCTGGTTTGGGACCATTTCCCTTAGTCTCTCTATGTGCTGTTAGCTAAAAGTCTGACTTAATCTACCAAAAGCAACATCTGTGTTTAAACCTTCGTGGCGTTTCCCAACCCTGGTCTTCAGGAAACAATGAGCTAAAGGTCAGGGACCATACATGACATAGGTTTTATTTTAAAAGAATGTAGCTGAGCAAAACCAACACAAGACAGGAGGGTCTGCTCTGCCCGAAACTCTGAACACAGTAATGAATCTGCACTTTTTCCTGTTGACATTTGAATGTTACATTAAAATGCAGGTATTAATTCAGAATCTTCTTCTTTTCCTGCAGCAATCGCCGAGTCACCAGGTGAGTTTAGTTTCTCCTAAACTGGTTCAAACTTCAGACGATGGTAGTGTTAAACGGATTCTCCTTTCTCTGCTCAGTCCCATCAAAGCGTGCCACTTCGAGTCCCATCTGGGAAAACTGCAAGCCGACTCCAACTAC